AAAACTTAAATAACTGGGCCAAAACTATTCTGATTTAGATATATGGGATCTCGGTGGAAAGGTATTTTCCCACTATTTTTATTTATGTGCAAAAAAAGTCATTCGTGTACCAAATTTTTTTTCAAATACCAACAAAAATTTAATTTTTTATTTTATTTTTTTAAATATTTTTTATGTAAATTTTTTGTCATTTGAGGGGATTTTTTCAAAAAACATCTTTAAGAAACTATTTTTATTCATAAAAAACTAAATTTTTTGAGGTATTTTCAAATCGGTCCAGCTCGCTTAAATCTTAAAATTCTTTCGAAATATTTTGGTGGACGTCTTAAAATATAATAAATTTTATAAATCCAATGGAAAAACAGTTCCGATATTTTTTTTGTGGGGAGTGATGCAGTCTAATGTACATATCTATGTATTTAAATTGTATTGTTTGCATATGCAGAGGTATGTGTGTTTGTTTATGTTTCGAATTTGACAGTGAAAATAAATTATTTGCTGTCACATTGTACTCTGTGGTCATTTTATTCTTACATACATATCTCAGATGCTGCCCCGAGCGATATGGCTAATACTTTGTATGCGATTTATAAATTGTTTGCTGTTTCTTCTTCTGAAATTGTAACCGACTTTTGGAATCATGATTGATATACATTTTTGACAAATAAGATCAGCTTCAAATTAAGGTTGACCGCATTTTATTTAGTTATTTTGCTTATCAGTATAGGTTGACGTAAACGTTGACTGATGCCTGATTGTGTCCAAAAAAAAAAATAAGTTTATTTTTATATCGCATTTTAAAATGTACAGTATCATCACTGTAAAGTCTTGAAAAACTTACTTGCAGAAATATTTTTCTGTGGGAAAACAAAAAGTATAAATTTGGCGCCGACATATTTTTTAAGTGTTTTGCAGAGCTTCTCCTTTAATGTGGAATGTGCGCCAATATGTTTATGTACATATGTACTCTCGGAGGTTCGCCATTGCGAGAAAAAACTTTTTGATTGCTTGCACACGTGTTAGGCATCGAAATCGTAGTAGAGCTCCACAGGAATCCGATCAATATTTATAGGTTTGATTAAGTTTTAATCTACCTTACGGCAGACCTGTATACAACTCTACAATAATACAGAATTTTTTAAGGAAAACAAGAGGTCTGACGTTGCGAGAGTAGTAGCGACTCTGGCTGGGCATTGACAGTTTGGAACCCACGCCAGAATGAAATTTAACACTAGGAGCGTATGAGTTTATATCTGTGGGGAAGATTCTGTAATCATTTAGCGACATTTTTGGATCGCTATCGCAACTTGCCGATGTGTTGACGGATTTCAATGAGAAACGAGGCTCTACACGCGAAGCAACAATCGTGGCTTGGTTGTTTCGTGTGTAATCAGTATAATGTTCAGGTGGGGAAAAAATTAAAATTAATGACATATTCTCGAACTAGTTTACTGCTATGAAAAAATATGTGCATACTACTCTACAAAAAGGTTTACATATACTATGTATGTACATATGTATGTATGTTTGTATGCATATTTAAAATCTGTTTATAAGTTATAATTTTAAGTGGAAATCATTGGGTAATTTACTTAAATAACTTTAAAGCAATTATGTGCAATGGAATATTTATTTTCACAACGAAATGAAGTGTAATTAATGTGCTCAAGTAGCCGGCGAGCCGTTATTACAAAGCATTTACGCTTTTCACTATAAATTAATGTTATTTTAAAATAATATTCACATAAAAACATATTCGTACATAGAGTACAGTGACTCACACAATTGCTCATGCTTTGTTTTTTTTTTTTAATGCTCACAATGTTTTTCAAGTTAAATTTTTTTGTTATTTTTTATAAAAATATGCTCTTGCTTTAACCAAAATTGTATAAATCAAAGTTCCCAACAAAAATTTTTTAGAAAAATTCAAAAGTTCGAATTTGTTATTATATGAATTTTAAGAAATTTTTTTGGTATGCCGTTTTGTAGCAAAGTTTTAGTATGTATAATAAATTGCAAGTATCAAGCGGCTAAAAATCACGTCGATGTTTAGTATTTTTTTGTTGACGCTTATGAGTTCTTTTTTCATATAACGTCGTGCGAAAAAAAAACAAAAAAAGTCATTAATGTGTTTTTAATAAATATGCTCATGAAACTATGGACCAGTGAAACCGCATCTTTAATTTTTCTCTTTGTTAAGTTTTTAAATTCTACAGAATTTTTTTTAATGTACGTATGTATATGATACCCATACTTTTATTTTACATTGCATTGAGTTTTGATTTTTTTTTTAATTAATCATACCTTTCACATTTCAAAGTAATTTTAAGAAAAATCCTGAGGTCAGAGAGAAAAACTAAAAACGTAGGTTTACTATTTTTGGCCCCAAGTTTCGTGAATATATTGATTTTTTTGCGTGTAAAATTTACGCACGATGTAATAAGTGCAATTTATAAAAATTAGCATTGAACTTTTGAAATTTTTTTGTGAACGGTCTTGCGCATTTTATTCCATAAAAAATCCAGATTTATATGGAATAAAGTGAAAAAAGTCGCCAGTATAAAAAAATAAATAAAAAATGAACGTGAATTTTCCAAACTAGCACTTAATTTATGGTCTATAAAACAGCGGGCGCAAATATATATTCAAAAAACTCGGATTAAACAGTTCGGAATTTTGCTGTAAATTTTCCCAATTTTTCAAAATTTTTTATAAAGTTAGAAATTTTGATTTATAAGATTTTTGGTTAATGTATGATAACCAAAAAAGTTTACCTTGAAAACATTTTGAAGATTTAAAGAAATTCAAAATGTGAACAGTTGCTTGATACACTGTATACAAGTACTTGTAAACATTAAAAGTTCACTTAATATATTGCAGCTGTCAGTTTGCAGTATCCTGTTATTTGCTACTAACTTATAGGGAACATTAAAATCCGGTAAGATTTGGAAGTTACGTTAGTTGCGTAAGAACAGAAAAGATAAACGCTCCCGGAATGCGCGATAAATTTATTTTTTTTGCTGCCCAGCATGTTATTCTATCCGCAAATTTTTGAGCGTTTTCACGTAATATGTAGAATGTCTCCTTTGCTTAATGCCCATTTTGCGTGGGTCTTAAATTGTTAAAGTCAAACACTTTTGCTGACATTTTATTTCAAGTCTTACACATGCAAGGGAAATCAGCTAATCGCGTGTACTCAACTTATTATTTGCTGTGCAAATTGATTTTTTTCTTTACTTTTGTGTTTTGCTTTTTTTCTTTGCAACTGGCGATCGTGTCACAAATCGATCAAATATACTTCACAGGAATATGAAAAAAAAAATAAAAATGAAATGAAAAATAAATATTGAGCTACGAAAAGAGACGCATTAAGCGTATATTAATATGTTGATATGTATGTAGTACATATGTACAAACATGGTAGTACAATGTGTAGCTGACACTTGGTATGATTACTTATTCACAAAAATTCAATTGGTTTCAATTGAAATGCGTTTTACACAAATTAATCAGACATTGAAATAATTAACAAAAAAATAAGCGATGCGAGTAAAATAGGAAGCTGCTTAACAAAAGAACAAAAGCGCCGCCATGACGAGTGAAAAGAAGAATATTTTCAAATTAAAAATGTATAAAAATGACAGTCGAAATATTTATTATACACTTTTTTTTTTTTTTTGGTTCATACATACAACCATATTGTACAAAAAAACATTAAAAGTGAAGGCATTAAAAATATTTAAGGCATACATGGTTTTTTTCTCTACCGCGAATCTTTAACTTAAAGTCGGGGAGGACGTGCCAGACATGAATATTAAAATCGTATTTTTTTCTTATTTAAAAAAAAAAAGAAAAATCAAGGTAAATTTTTTAATGGACTTTTATAATTGCAGACTTAATGTTTTAATAGCATACGACATGTAATTAAGGGTATTCACTCATATGTAGACAAGCTGTGGGTCCATCGATTGACTCTGCCTCAGCTTAAGATGCTGGTGGCATATTAAATACATTCATTCTCATCATTCAAAAATCAGAAACGGGTGATTGGGCAGCAGGTGGCTAGACCGATTTGAAAATGCCTCCAAAAATCTCATTACATTGATTCCATTCTTGCATCATCTGGGGTGGTTAACAAAAATATAAAAAAAAAAATATCATTTATAAAAAAACTCGGAATAGGTCCAACTCATGTAAATCTTAATATTTGACGGAAATATTTTGGCGGAATTCTTAATATATAATACATTTTATATTTCCGATGGAAAATTAAACCAAACTTTTTTTTTTTTAATGTAAATAGAGTGCCTCACCCCAATGTGTGTAGATCATTATATAGTAGTACTCCAGACTACACACACACACTATAAATTGTCAAATTCTTGTGAGAATTTCTGCTCAAGCCGAGGCGCTTGCGCCTGAGAGATTTTACAAAAAAAAAAAAAATACAACTAAAAAGCAAAAACTCAATTTGTGTTCAATGCATTTAATCATCGACGACAAGGAAGTGATTCAGTCATTTGTTTTTTTTTTTTTATAAATTTCTAATTTTTTTCATATGGTTACTCGCACTTTGGCTCGTTTGCTTGCCACTACTGCTTACCGCTTGCCATCCTATGTATTGTACACAATGTATTTGATTTGTGTCTGGCTTTTGTTTAAATTCTTTAAAATATATTAATTTATTTAAGTATAAATAAATACTTATTTTATTGACAAGTAAATTGAAATGGTAAAAAAATGTGCAAACACATTCCATTAGCGGCTGCTCGGTCTATAAATAACCACTTATGTATGTTTGCAAACAAATTCAATTCGTTAACTGCACTCGACGCTGATTTATTACTACATATTGGCAAGTTGCTAACAACTCACTTAATGCCTAGTTTTTATTTAATTTTTTTGTAGTTTTTTGTTTTTTTTTGTTTTCAATAGTTATTTGGCATTTACATAGGAATGTATGTATGTACATATACATATGCGTATTTTTACACACTCACCTTCACCGGCTCATCGTTTTCGAAACCTCCGTTGCTGAAACCTGTCATTTTGTCAGCCCAAGTAAATCACAAGCCTTTTAAATTTGAATGCGTTTGTTGAAGTCTCTTGCTCGCTCCTCACTCTCCGTTTACCGTTCTAATGTCGTTCTCAGGTTTAGTATGAAATTAGATTTCTATTTAAAGCTGTAAAGAGAAGATTTGGAGAAGTTATTTATTATTTGCGAGTTAAAGTGTAATGCATTAAAAAAATAAAAAAATAAATTATCTTAAGCTGAAATACTAACTATATATAAAAAAGGGATTCCTGCAAAATTTTTTGTTTTTTTTTGGTCTAAATTGTCAACTAAGTATTAATTTTTTTTATCATTTCGTATGCTCGAGAATATTATATGAAAATTCTTGGATTATTTAGGGAACTAATACTCATAAACAGGATTACATATGTACATACGCTTTTTATAGGCTTGAATAAAAAAAATAACTAACTAATAGTTTAGCTAAATAGATTGTGCCTACATATAACTTAGTGAATTTTATTTTTCATTATTGCAACTTTTTCGTAAAATGAGGTGAGATATATTTCATGTAGTACATTTAAAAATGTCATCTTGATCACAAATATTGTTAAAAAAAAAGAGTTCAAACTGATTTCGCAAAGCTTTGGTATACCTACAAACTAGGGCTGTGCGATTATTCGATTACTCGAGCAAGTTGGTTAATCAGTTATTCGGTTAATCAATCACTCGAGTAATCGTGATTTTGATTATGTAAAGAGTACTTTGAAATGTCGATTACTCATAATTGTGATTAATCATAAAGCGAATTAGTAAAAATTTTTTGTTTTTGGTTAATTAAAATCTTGATTACTCAAGTAACTGAGCTTTTGAGTAATCATAATTTCCAATTAAACGAATAATTGAGTTATTTATTTTATGATTAATTAAAATTTTGAATAATCAATTAATTGCACAGCCCCACTACAAATATATACAATTTTAAAAAAACATTTTGAAGCGAGAATCAACACTGTTTGTTAACTTTTTGAATATTTAGTTATGAGTAAGTGCCATTTTTAGTGCATTTTTGGTCCCCAACTTCTTTTCAATCATCAACTGTCAAGTCACGTTAAAAAATGGAAATGTACGAATTGCACTTGAGAAAAGCTTCTTTTTTTATGTAGCAACGCACCAACCTATTATGCCATAAGCGCAATCTAAATGCTATAATTTTATCTCATTATACAGTTTAATTGAAAATGAAAATCACAAACTAGTTTACATGACAAAACCACTTCCATCCGTTATTTTGTATAAAATAAACTATGCGTGCATATAATTGTTTAGTAAAAATTAAGGTCTTTTGTTATGCATTCTAATTGTATAATTTATAAAAAGCTCATATAATGCAGCGAGCTTGTAACATTGTACCAAGTAGAAATTTTATATAAAAATTAGCGAAGGGAAAATTATTATTCACGTATGTATTTAGATACAGAAGACTAAGTTGTTATTATACCTCCTTTTGTTAGAGTTTTTTATGCCGTTGCATAAAGTAAGAATATCAAAAAGCAGAGTAAGTTGAAAAGGAAACATTTTTCATATTCAAGCTAATTATTGAGACTACAATGCGGTCAACAGCTGAGTAGCCAACTGGCTAAGCATAAATTTTGCAACTGTTTATTTGGCTTGTCAAACTTAGAATTAAACAAAAAAAAAAAATGGTTTTGAGACTGGTGCTAGAACAAAAAGTTCGTGTTACAAAGTATATTTGTCAATGTCAGTGTTTGTCAATATATCATTTAAATTTTAAGGTTTTGTAATTTACATATACTTCCACTGTAGTATTTTGTTCTAGTGAGCTACTCGTAATAGGTATAGCTAATTAATTTTTACACAGCCTAAAAGAGTATCGGTAATTTCTGCCTACTTAAGTAATTTTTTTATTTACTTATTTTTTTTTTATAATAAATAATAACAATTTTTTTTACAAAGAAAATTAGCCCAAACTTGCTAAATTGTTACTATATATTGACTCGTAAATTTTTTTTTTTGCTTTAACAAATTTAAAAATCAAAAAGTTGAATGAAAATTACCTAGAAAAATACACACATATGTATGTACATATGAATAAGTAGGTAAGCCGTTTGGATTTTTACTGCTTAGTCGCTTGTTACGCGCTTGTCAATCGCGTGTGCACTCAAGCGCAAATGCGATGACTTGTGAATGGCAGACACTATGTAAATACATATATATATACATATGTAAATAACGCATCCTATATACACACCAATCCAATTGCACGCTTATAAAACACAGAAAAGCTCACACGGCTCACTTCACAGCACACAGCACGATATCTCAAACGTAGTTCAAGTTCACTTTGTGTACATTTTTTTCACACACAAAATTACAGTTCCTACATTTTCATCAAATTCGTATGCGTTAATAATTATTTATTAAGTATTTGTTTTTTATCGAATAATTCTGTTCCGTTGATTGTAGCATTTAATAATTTCTTTTTTTTTATAACTTTTTTTTTATATCAATTATTTAGTTGCTGTTGCTTTTTTTCGTTATGTGTTTGCTTGTTTTATTAATTTACATACATACATATGTAAGTTTGGTGACATGTATGTACATATGTATGTATCATTGTCTGTATGTATGCTTCACGTTCAATTAATTAGTAATCTATCGACACATCTGCCTTTATGATGGTAAAAAATTAACGAAAAGTTACTAGCTTTTAGTTTGAGTTTTAAATAAGAATGTAACTATTTATTGAAAAGCTCGATAAAGTAGAAAAAAAGCTCTTAAAAATGCTAAATCATAAAGTTTCATTGAATTTTTTTAATATTTTTATTATATATTCTCGGAATTACTACGTTATAAAATAACATGCATTCTTAAATTATCAATCGAATGGTTAAATAAATAATTGGGTATTATAATTGGAATCTCTTGAAGAGAACCAGAGATTTCCGATCGAAAAATATTGATTTTCAAGAATTCTATACCATTTCTACGAAAAGTTGTTTTCCCCCATGGAAAACTTTGAGCGCTTAGAACGACCTCTAAATATTTTTTGATTTCAAAATAAAAAAAGGAGTTTATTTTTTCGATATAGAACAATCCTAAAAAAAATTACGACTTTATTAAGTTCTTTTAGTTAAATTTCGTAGAGTCGAAAATAAGTGGCAACCTTACACTAAATATCCTAAGGGATAACATTTACCTCATAGGCAAATAATTGTTTGTCTTTGCTTTCGTTTAGTAAGAATAATAAAAAATATTTTATCTTAATTTTCTAAACAAAATATTAAATAAATATACGATTGGAAATGAGTGGCAACCCTATTAATAAATTTTCCTGAATTGCGGATTTTTAAAATAGTTTCCATTTGATATCCATATATATTGATCTTTATTGAGTTTGCAACTAATTTCGAATAGGTGGCAACCTTTTACGAATACTATCGGAGATAACACCTATCTAAGTAACCTTAAAATCTAAAACATTATATATATAAGAATTTCTCTTTTAAAGGAATATGATACATTTTGTCAATTATTTGTTAAACTATTTCATTTCGTTTGTAAAAAATTCTTATTGCCTACAAATACATATCGCACACTATCTTTAAAAGTGATTTAATTAAAAATTTGTCACTTTTGAAATTATGCGCTAAAAGCGTTCACAGAGTTTTTTTACCTTTCAGCAAAAGCGGGAGCAAATTTTTGTTATAATTTTTTGAAGTCTCCCTTGCCCATATTATTAGCATCTGCTAAAAAATAGTTTTTCGCGCTTTCTGACAAACGTGTAATTTTGATCGTGTGCGATATATACTTTGATACCACTAGGGATGTTGCGAAACTACTGATATAATATTGGTATCGGTAGCCATATTGTTCCTAGAATTCTATTTAAGTACATTTCCTGTTTGGTGACTCTATGTTATCGTTCGCGCGATTTATTTATTTCCTATACCCATACTATACTATATTGCCTATACTTTTATGGCATCGTAATATATTCAAACCGTATAAACACAGTACATATACAGCGTAACCACATGGATTTGTTTTTATTTCTGTTTAGCTGCTTTTACGACGAAAAGTAAAGTATGGAATCACATTGCGAAGATTGACAAAAGTTCGGTTAAGTGCAACGCGTGTTTGAAAATTGTGAAATTTTCGTGCAAAGAACAAATTTAAAGAAAGATTTACCGACTTGCTGATGAAAGCGAGCCATTTTTTATACTTTGTTTATTACGCACTGCAGTTGTTTAAGATTTCTTATTAATTAATTTTCATTAACAAACATTTTTTGTATCAAAAGCATAAAATATCGATATTTTGTATCGATACTGGACTTCTGATACATGATTTGATACTGGGTATCGATACTTTTATAGTATCGCAACATCCCTAGATACCAAACAAGCTGAAATAAAACAACATTGCAATAAAAATTAATCCTAATCTTTTGTTTTTTCATCAAACAATCATAATTAAAAAATTAGGGCAAATATCAAAAAAAAGTGTTTCTACATTTTACAAGCGACCATGAATTAAAAAAAAAAAACAAACAGCAACAAATCTTTTTAGGTTCTCGCTAATGACATTTCCATATTCTTTAAACATTCACTTTTATTATAATTGTATTTGCTTAAACGACGACGTGATGCTAAATGAAATTACTAACAGTTTGAGGCATTGTCTGCTAGTATTTAGTAATAAAATAAATGTATGTAGAAACAAACAAAAACAAGGCACGTACATACATACATATGCATGTACATGCAATACAGATAGAAATTAACTGGCTCTGGTGCAATCAGCCAAAAACAACGGTTAACTTCAGAACGGCTTTTAATTAGTATGGAGCACGTAATAGATTTTCTAAATACGCTCTAAATATGTATTAACATGGTATAGCATTTATGTATAAAAAGAAAACAAGTAATAAAAATTAGAATGTGATTTTCTCCGGAAAATCTAATCCTACTCACCGAAACTATTATAGCTGATTAACATAACAAAAAACGTTTTTGTAATGTCCATTCGGTCTTGTAACGTTGTGCTTTGCAAAATT